AGGGAAATATGATAGAAAAGGAAATCGGACTTCCTAAGCTTCAGAATTGCTGTCCTTTAATGCCACCGGGAATTCTATCTACAGTTTCCTCACAGATCTCTGGAGTTTTGTGCCACCTGGACATAAAATCTCTACTAAAAGCCCCAGTGTCTAGGAACACATTCTCTCCAGTCTAGCACCTTGACATCAGGAAAAACGTAGATTCAGAACTGCAAAAACTAGTTTCCATCCCACAGCCTCAGAGAGGAACTCACTATTCTGCCCCCAGTTTCTCTGATTACACCCTTGGTAGAAAGTGGCATGTGGTTATTAGTTGTTAAGCATCTGGCAGGCTTTGCAAGCAGCCTTCACCACCCACCCCCACCCCCGAAAATCTGAGGGCTTCCCAGATAAACAAGTCCCCACCCAAACTCTCTCCCCCACCAGTCCTAGGGTTGGGCACCCCAATGCCAAAACGCAACTGACATTTAAAACCTGATTGAAACCACATAGACTGTGCCAAATGTCAGTAAGGAAGGCATCAGCCAGCCAACAGCCTTCTCAGGCTTCTTCAGCAGCTGACTGAAAAACCACTTCTCTGCCATCCGTTAAAAAATCCACCTCACATAAGAACAAAATAGTAAACACCTACCTCTAGATAAAGTAGGAGAAGAGGGAGGACCAAAGTGACCTTTGTGCCCCAGGTCACTGAAGTGATCCACATTTTTTTAATGCAAAGAAATATTTTTAAAAATTCTCATAATTTTTAAGTGTATGAAGAGGCATAATACAAACCTTGCATATAGCTGTTCTAGAAAATTAAATAAAAATTGGTGTATGTCAATGCATCAATATAACATCAAATGGGTGCATTTTACAAATGGGTGCACTTTACTCTATTTTGTCTTAGTTAAACATTTTAGATACAATTTCTTCATAGACTTAGGGGCATAAAAATGACCTACAATATCAGTAGTAATCCAATCATTTATCTTTTTTCTTTTTCCATCTCTTTTTAGTTTAGAGTATAATTTCAAGTCAACCATTTTTAAAATTTTATTATAATACCATTATTTACCAAGTTGTTCATAATACAGTTGTTTCAGGCCTTAAATGCCCCAACCCCAATCCCACCACCAGTGTGATCCTCCCTTTACCAATGTCCTCAGTTTCACACCCACCACCCCAGCCTGCCCCCTTACAGGCAAAAACATTTATTTCATACTGTTTGTTATAACACAAAGGTAAATGGAATTATAAAACCTTAGATTAACAGTAGTCAACTTCATAATTGTTATATCTTACACTGGTGTTACTAAAGTCATTATCTGAAGATCTATTTTTCTGATTAGTGCTAGTTGAGCCTTCTGTGATATTGTTTATGTTCACTGAGCTTGGTAGTCTTCTATGCAACTTTCCTATCAGATTTGCTGTGATCCTACAGGGCTGACTATTAAATTACTATGAAATTTGGAGGTGTCCCAACCCCATCAAAAATGGGGAGAATAAATGAACAGAAGTTTCCTCAAAAAAGAAATACAAATGGCCAAAAGGCACATGAAAAAATGCTCCACATCGCTAGCCACCAGGGAGATGCAAATCAAAACAACAATGAGATATCATCTCATACCACAGAGACTGGCACACATTCAAAAGAACAAAAGCAACCAGTGCTGGCGTGGATGGGGGGGGAAAAGGGATGCTCTTTCACTGTTGGGAAAGTCCACTAGTCCAGCCTTTCTGGAAAATAATATGGACAGTCCTTCAAACACTATATATTGAGTTTCCATATGACCCCGCAATACCACTTCTGGGAATATATCCCGAGGATGCAAAAAAGCACAGTAGAAATGACATCTGTACCTATATGTTCATTGCAGGCATTGTTCACAATAGCTAAAATCTGGAAACAACCCAAGTGCCCTAGAACAGATGATTGGTTAAAGAAACTTTGGTACATCTACACAATGGAATACTATGCAGCTGTCAGGAGAGATGAAGTCATGACCTTTGCTTATAAGTGGATAGACATGGAGGGTATCATGCTAAGTGAAATGAGTCAGAAAGAGAGACAGACATAGAAGGACTGCACTCATTTGTGGAGTATAGAATAACATAACATGAGGCTGACACCCAAGGATAGTAAATACAAGGGTCAGGAGGATTGCTCCATAGCTGGAAGCCTGCCTCATGAACGGAGGGGAGAAGGCAGATGGAATACAGAAGGGATCACTAAGAAAATGATGGCCAGAGGAATCAGTCAGGATGGGAGATGTGTGCTGAAAGTAGATAATGGACCAAACATGATGATCTCTCAGTGTCTACTGCAAACCATAATGCCCAAAAGTAGAGAGAGAGTATGGGGAATATTGTCTTCCATGGAGGCAGGGGCAGGGTAGGGAAGGGGGTATACTGGGGAGACTGGTGGTTGGGAATGTGCACTGGTGGAGGGATGGGTGCTTGATCATTGTATAATTGTAACCCAAACATGAAATCTTGTAACTTTCTCACGGTGATTCAATAAATTTTTTTTAAAAATTGGAGATGTCATGTGGCTGCATATGTGGCCGCATGGTACAAGATCTATAGATCTGGAGCAATCTGTTGGCATGGCAGTTTGATAAGGTTCAGTTGTGTAGCTGGCCTTTCTATGTCAGAGGTTGTCGGGTATGGCTATGGACTACTGTGTCTTCAGACAGAAAGGGGAATCTGCCTGCCCCCATTCTGAGAAAGCCCCAGAGTTCTCAGCCTAGACCAGTCTACCTGGGAAGATGCAGCAGTATCATATTCTTTTGGACAAATGGTGCTGGGCCATATCTCTACCAGCAAGATGGTCTTGATCCACATTTGTGGTTAAATATCTCTTTCTTAATCTATAGGTGGGTCTCTTCCTTCCTTTAAAGTAACTTCAACTTTTGGTCCAATGAATTTCATGCTCCTGTTGGGTGTTGTTTCATCCGGAGGTTGCCTGATCCTTTTTTGCTTTTGTGTGTGTTTTAAATCACTGACATTGGTTGTCTTTCTTTCTTTCTTTCTTTCTTTCTTTCTTTCTTTCTTTCTTCTTTCTTTATTAAAGAGCTCGTAGAAGAATGTGTCAGAGCAAAAGTACAGTGGGTAGGGCACTTGCCTTTCATGTGGTCAACCCAGGTTCAATACTCAGGACCACATATATTCCTTCATTCCCTGAGCTTGCATGTAGTGATGCCTGAGTTCAGAGGCTGCAGTAAGCTCTGAGCACTGCCAGGAGTGATCCCTGAGCTCAGAGCCAGCAGGAATCCCTGAGCACCACCAGGCATGATCCCTGAGCTCAGAGCCAGGAGAAGAACCTAAGCAGTGCTGGGGTGGCCCAAAAATCACTGGGGAAAATAATGAAGCTTCCTGATTCTTGGAAAGGAAAATTAAATAAAGGGATGACTGTGTTGTGTTTTAATACCCAAATGCTCTTTAAATTTAAATTATCTTCAAGTATATTCCCCCTAGAAATAAAGCAATACCATCAACCTGAAGCCAAGATATAATGTATTTTTTCTGTCATTTTCCCATTAAAAGTATGATAGATTCCACTTTAGCATAATATGTATAGCTATAAATTGAAAACACTCATTATTCTCTCTCTGAGTTGCTATTCTGGGCAATTTATAATTATTTAACAATAATAATATAACAATCCTATGAGGTTATGTCCTATTCTTTTTGTTTTACAGAGCAGGAAAGAGAGTTAAACACAGAAATTCAGCAACTAGCTCAAGCTCATACAGTGAGGAGTGGCTAAACTAAGTATTAAACCCAGATATTAAACTATGGACTGTTCTCAGAACCACTCTTCTATGTTGCCTCCTCTTCCTCCTCCTCCTCCTTCTCCTCTTCCTCCTCTCTCTCTCTCTCTCTCTCTCTCTCACACACACACACACACATACACACACTGTTTCTTTCTCTCTCTCACACACATACAGTATCTGGAGTATTGCATGTGTCATTTTATGCAAACCATACAATGGTCTCTAAATCAAGCCCTCTGTTTATTCCCATTTTACAGATGGGAAAATGAGACACAAAGCAGGAATGCAGCATGTTCCCCAAAGCACTCCATTAGTCAGTAAAAAGTTGAGACTCAACTGCACTGAACATCCTCCTTGTCATCCCAGGCTTCCTGCCTCTCCCCTACATGACTTTGGTCTGACTAAGTGGGGTGGGCAGTGGAGACGGGGAGGGCAGTGCATGCCTGTGGATCAGAAGCCAGTGTCCTGGCACTCCAGCCCTACATGACAATATTTAGGCAGAAGGCCTGCAAGAGCAGATACGGGAATTCTATTTTTGCAAAGCCTAGTGGCAAGAAATAACTTGGCTAAAGGCATAAAGTGGTACCCAGTTGGGGGGCAGAGGAATGGTGACTAAAACAACAATTCTCAACATGTGTTTCTAGGGCCATTAGGGGATCCTAATGGCTTTGCCTTGCACTTGGTCGACCTGGATTTGATTCCCAGCACCCCATATGGTCCCCCAAGCACCGCCAGGTGTTATTCCTGAGTGCATTAGCCAGGAGTAATCCCTGAGCATTGCTGGCTGTAACCCAAAAAACAAAAAAAAAATGTTAAACTTATAAAACACCCCCACTTTTTATTCCAATACTTATATTTTTTAACCAAAATGCCACCTAGGCTCAGATGAATGAGTGAGGCTTATATTTCAATGAATTAAGGCAAAGGTCAAAGTGTCTCAGGTGTAATTTATAATATGGTAAAGACACAGAGAAAAGGGATAATTTGCTGACTTTTAAGAGCAGAAAAGGCTCCTGAGATTGGAAGCCTGAGAACATAATCTCTTAAGATAAGAACAGGTTCATGCTGGCCTCCAGCTCTCTGTAGTCACTGCACCCTCCACCCTCCCCCAGCCAGGCAGGAGGAACAAGGGGTGTGTCATTTCAGATGTTGAAGGAAGGTCCGGGGGCACAGTGCTGGCCATTCCATGAGACCCAGGGTTCCTCCTCCACAGTGCCAGGTGCACAGACCCATGTGGCTTACCTGGAAATAGTCAGATATGAATGATCCCAGCTCACTCTTCAGCAGCCGCCTAGGAAGAGAGAAGCACCGTCAAATACCCTGGATGGCACAGCACCGGCAATGCAGGACACAGACACCCAGCAAAGCTGGGGTCTCCTGAGGGGCTCAAGGACCCAGGTGAGGCTGAGAAAGAAAGGGTACTTCCCAAGGTCCTGACAACCCTCCCACCCCAGAATCCCCTGCAATGCTTCCTGGGCAATGGGGGTCGCAAATGCAGGAGGGGAATCTTGATCAATCTTTAGTTCATGCTCCAACATTATTGCCCAAAAAGGGGTGATACAGCCCCTGAGGGGTGCTGGCATGATTCAGGGGGCAGAGTAGCAGTTTTAGGTGCAACTGGAGGAGATCTTCCTGTTTTTCTTTAATAAGGTAAGATTTTTTTCGGGTTGGGGGGATGCTGGGTACTGAGTAATTTTTTTTCTCTGAAAAGGGTGAGGTTGACCAAATAAGTTTGAGAACCTCAGCTCTACAAAAAGGCCTTGCTAAGAGGGAGGTAGATCTCAATTCTAATCGAGGAAAGAGGCAGGACCAGGTATGTGAAGCCAAAAATCGCCCCAAGCAAAGAAATAAAGTAAAATATAATAAGGAGGAGAAAGTACATATTTGTTCATCACCCCAAATCTGTAGGCTTTATGATTAAGTGCATTTAAAAAAATTTTTTTCAATCAAGGATGATAATTATTTCTGGGTGGTGATTATTCCTCTGCTAGTACAGATGAGTAAATAAAGGCTCAGTGAGGTCCCCTGTCTCTGGGAGAATGAAGATTTGAACCCAAACCTTCTGCAAAGTCAACATCTCTTCCCATATTTCCCCCCTTTCTCCCCTGAAGTCCACCAGAGACATTCAACTTGTCGTTATCGTTTGGGTTGTCTTACCACTCCACCCCAAGGCACTGGGCAGTCCTTCAAAGGGACCACAGCAGGGCGTAGAAACTTATCTTTCCAGGCAGCCAATCCTTATGGAGCCACCCACTGTGTGTGAGAAACTGTTCAAGCACCAGGTGTGCAGAAGTGAACAAGCCAGATACCATCTCTCTCATGCAGCTTCTGTTCTTGCAGGGAAGCATGTGGATAGACAGCATGTGAAAGAAACTTGCAAGTTTATTTCAAATAGTCTGAAGTACCTCCCCAAAATAACCATTGAAAATTGGGAGGTTGGCACCAGATCATCTTCCTGGGACAAATCATGGAACCATTCTGACTTCTTTTTTCTTTAATTCCTCCAAATAAGATGAAGGAACTAAAACAAAACACCCAGAACCAGAATAGTTGGCTCCCTGCACCGGTGAGTTTTCTTGGGGGAGTGGGGAGAGGGATATGCAAATTCTTCATGACTTCATTTTCTCACACTACCAGCCAAGATGGGCTGGAGCAATAGCACAGTGGTAGGGTGTTTGCCTTGCATGCAGCCAACATGGCCGACCCGAGTTCGATTCCTCCACCCCTTTCGGAGAGCCCGGCAAGCTACCGAGAGTACTTCGCCCGCATGGCAGAGCCTGGCAAGCTTCCCATGACGTATTCGATATGCCATATTCGATATGCCAAACACAGTAACAACAAAAGTCTCCAATGGACATGTTACTGGGCCCGCTCGAGCAAATCAATGAACAACGGTAGGACCATGACCGTGACCAGCCAAGATGATTAAGGAGCAAATGCTCAAGTTTCTTCTTCTTCTTCTTTTTTTTTTTAATAAAAAGTGTTTTAAATTTTGTTTTGTTTTGCACAGCGGTAGGGCTTTGCCTTACAAGTGGCCAACATGGCCGACCCAAGTTCGATTCCTTCGCCCCTCTCGGAGAGCCCGACAAGCTACCGAGAGTATCTCACCCACGCGGCAGAGCCTGGCAAGCTACCTGTGACGTATTCGCCGTGACATATTCGATATGCCAAACATAGTAACAACAAGTCTCATGATGGAGACATTACTGGGCCCGCTCGAGCAAATTGATGAACAACGGGAGGACCGTGACCATGACCGATTTGTTTGGGGGACATACCTGGCTGTGTTTAGGGCTTACTTCTGGTTCTGTATACTCAGGCATCACTCCTTGTGGGCGTGGGGGACCATATAGGGTGCTGGGCAAAGAACCCAAGTTGGCCCCAAGCAATGCAAGCACGCTACTTGCTGTCTTCTTGCTCTTGCCCCACAAATGCTCAGGTTTCTGACATATCTGTATGGCGTTCACTCCTCTCAAAACAAGTTCCCACCTCTAACTGTGAGATGGGACAGGAAGCCACTGTGAGAAAGCCCAACATGCTGAAAACACACATGCCAAGACTGAGACATGCTATGCTTGTGGACAAAGCCTCTGACGCCACATTGACACGCCGGTTCCTGATCAACCAGCCCAACCACACAGCCCAGACTGTCCCCAAGGTATGGACTCCGACAGATACACCAATGTCTCTTTGGTCACTTAATCAAGCACACTCACTCCTGGTCCCTCAATGAGGCCACTGGTGGCTCAGACAGGAACCAGAAACATGGCGGGCATCCCCAGATGGAAGAGATAAGGAGCTGGCTTCTAATGGGGAAACACCTCCCAGCTAAAGGTCCCTCAACCCCCCCAACCCCCGCAACTGGGAAGTCTTAAAGTCACTGGTGGCAAAAGAAATCCTAACAACAGGCAACTTCCAACCCATCTCCCAGATGAACACTATCTAGAGTGTTCAATTCAGTTGGGAGGCTTAATACGCTTCTGAGCCCCCAATCCCTGCAGAATGAATGGGTGTCCCCAGAAATTGACACTGGGAAACTACATCTCATGAAGATACTCTGGGTATGATGGAAAGAGGGAGAGGATGTGGGAAGTAGGGGAAGGACTGTGAGGTCAAGGACCCAGCGATCTTCCAAGGACAACATGCTGAGGGGTCTCTCGGGGAGGTGGAACAAAGGGAACCCTAGTCAGGACTCCACAGGATGTTACTGCTCCAGGGATCAGCCCTGTGCTCCTCCCACAGCACAACTTTGCACCCATTGAAGGAAGACTTTCCTTTCCAGAAAGTCGGAGATCCCAGAGCAAGTGTGTGAAGGTGCTCTGGACTGCATCCGGACAGTGGTAAGACAGTGCTGAGGCCTGGATTTTGCAATGGGGCACAGGAAGTCCAAACTGGAGGAAGAAATCAGCTGACGAAAGAGCAAGGGTTAAGGCATAAACCTGATGCAGTTGCCAAAACCAGGATGCTCAGCCCAAAGGACTGGGAAGTAGCCAGTCAAAGGGCGAGAAGAGCAATAAAGGAGCATAAGGAACAGTACGCTGAGGGCACCCTTCCACAATGACAAGTGTCACCACAGCCTCTACTTAGGAATGGCCACATGACAGGTGACATTATACTCCCCGAATGTAACAGATGGAGTCTAGGTATTGCTAAGGGATTCACGTATTTGTCCTTTCATCCAATCCCAAGTTCAAAACCACTTGCCTCTAGGTACTGATATATTATAAACCTAAATATTAGGACAGAATTAAACATTCCTGTTCATTTAAGTCACTGTTCTATGGCCCTTGGTGATCAAGTCAGTAATCTACAGTAACTGTTAGACAATGAGTTTTTATGGGGCGACACCTGGCACTGATCAGGACTTACCCCTGGCTCTGCAGTCAGGAATCCCTCTTGGCAGTACTTCGGGGACCATGTGGGATGCTGGGGATTGAACCCAGGTTGGACACATGCAAGGCAAGAGCCCTACCCGCTGTACTATCACTCCAGCCTTGACTCTTAGAAAACCTTCTCTCTGAATGTGCTGTAAATTAGCCAGATTAGTGACTATACAGAGTGCTTGCTGCAGCCATATATAGGTATATAGGCATCCATATAAGCGAACACCAGTAAAGCGGGTACTAGGAAACTAAGGTTAATGGGTAGCACAGGGTTTAGAGCACATGCCTTACACGTGTCTAAGACTGATTTGATCCCCAGCACCACATAACTCCTGAGCATCAATGAGTGGAGCATCCTTGGAGGCCCCACAGCACTTATTGGGGTGCCCCAAGTGATCCTCAGCACCACAGGGCACAAGCAGCACACAATGAACCCCATCTGAGCATCATTAAACCCACTAAACCCGAAATTACAGTTCATTTGTACTACAGAATTCTAGTACATTTAAAAAAAAAAGTGAAGACTTGATCTAAGCAGTGTTAAGAAAGGATCTCCTACATTAAGTAAAGAAAAGCAGGATATTTGAACATATACAATATGAACAAATTCATCAAATCTAAGTGATTGAGTTTACAGCACAAGCTTTCATCTTGAAGGATATGGAATTTGGAAAACACATAATTCAACTATACTCAGTTCAGTTGTTTGAGCAAAACAAAACATCTGAGTTATACTGAAACAATATTGCAGGTAATCACCGTCAGGGTCCTCCCGTTATTTTTTGATTTGCTCGAGAGGGCCTAGTAATGTCTCCATCGTGAAACTTATTGTTACTGTGTTTGTCGTATCGAATATATCACGGGTAGCTTGCCAGGCTTTGCTGTGTGGGTGAGATACTCTCGGTAGCTTGCCGGGCTCTCCAAGAGGGGCGGAGGAATCGAACCCGGCTCGGCTGGGCCGGCTGCGCGCAAGGCAAACACCCTACCACTGTGCTGTCGCTCCAGCCCTGTGCTATTGCAGGTAATGTTGCTAGGTAATTTGCAGCTCAGGAACAGCCAACCACAGAGATAGCTCTGGTGGATTGCAGACCCAGGGTGGAAACTCAGATACAACATGACCCCCAGCACTGCCAGTCCTGAGCAGAGAAGTGAGGATGCACACCTCTCTCCCAGCACTTCTGGGTGTGGCTCACCTGCCACAAAACATTTTTTAAAAAGGGAAAAAATGTACCTAATCTTGGGTATCCTGGGATTATAATTTAGCTTTTATCCATAGGGAAAATCTATTTAAATATCCATAGGGAATATCTATTTAAATTTTTGGGACCTCACCCATGCAAGACACATGCCTCTCCCCTCTGTGCTACTTCCCTGGCCCCAGCACTTTCATTTTTAAGCCCACATCCAT